TCTGGAAAGTTAGTATCTTTTAATTCCTGGTATATTGTGTCATTCGGTGTGCTGATGCACAATATGTTGACTTTTGTTGATATTACAATTGTGTGTTTGTCTAGGACTGTGTTATATGAAGAGAAGAGAAGGTTTGAGGCTCGGGTCACTCAGCTAGAAGAGGAGCTGGAGGAGGAGCAGACTAACTTTGAACTGATGTCAGAAAGACAAAGGAAGACTGCTCTACAGGTATGGTAGATGCAGCTGTGCACACACATCCACCTCTGCATCCACAGACATACTTGTAATCACACATTGTCATTGCTGCTCTGTTTGCGGTCCAGGTGGAGACTCTGACCGTGCAGCTGCAGGGAGAGAGGATGCTGACCCAGAAGGCTGAGGCAGCTCGAGAACAGCTGGAGAGGCAGAACAAGGACCTTAAGACCCGGCTGGAGGAGTTGGAGGGAACAGTGAAGGGCAAACACAAGCTCAGCCTCACTGCCCTGGAGGCCAAGATAGAGACACTGGAGGAGCAGCTGGAACAGGAGAGACAGTGAGTGAAACAGATCACATTGACATGCATCTGCACAGATAAAATGTTAGAAAAAAATACCCTTTGCAATAACATTTTGCCTGATTTCCCCCCTTTTTTTATACTAGCTAAAAAAACAAACAAAAAAAACAAGTAGCATACTAGCTAAAAAAAAACAAACAAAAAAAACAAGTAGCAGCAATAGATAATTTCATACATGAGGTTTTATTATGGGGTTATATTACCAATTATCAAAGTAAATGTTATTATTTTACCTTATCTAATGCCTGTAAATTGACATATTTGAATAAGTAACATTATACAGGTAAAATCAGTCAGTAAAAATATGCAAAATATCAAATTAGGGTAAATTCCAAGTCCATTACAATTTTCTGTTCTTTTCCTGTTCTTTTTTTAATTGGGCCCCAGCTCTCTGCTCTATGTTTGGGAGCCTATTGGACATGATAGCCTATTTATGTGATCCTGTTGAATTCTCAGTAGGCAACATTTCAGTCACACAAACCACACCATGACCATTCATTTAAACAATGGTGTTATAATAAAGTCTAAACTAAAACCAAATTCGCCACTTCTAAGGCAAGTCAACAGTTTCCAACAATGGGTCATAAATGAAGGATCAGTGGTTTACAGTGGCCTAACATGAAGACCAATCTTATTGTTATACAACAAGTTGTTATAAAATGTGCAATCCACTTTCATTGATGTCTTTAAATACTTGGTGCAGCAGGTAGCTTATAGTGACCTCTGGTATCTCTCAGGGAACGAGCCATTGCCAACAAACTGGTACGAAAGTCAGAGAAGAAACTGAAGGAGGTGGTGATGCAGGCAGAGGATGAGAGAAGACATGCAGACCAGTTCAGAGAACAGGTAAGAAATTTAAAATGACCCTGACTTTATCAGGTTAGGTGAGCCATATAAGCACACACAGAATAGTATAGCAAGGGACATGCCATTATATAGTTATTTACTGGGGGTCAGGTCAGCCACACTCTGACTGTGCTGCAGAGAGCACAACAAGGGTGTTGACAGATCATCCTAAAATAAAACGAATGACTCAGTCTAACCTAATCGTAAACCCACGCTGGCATCTGTGTGGTCACTGGGAAGGCAAAGCATATTCCACTCAAGGGTTTCCACTAGGAATTTATCTTGCTAGTCGGGTGTGTGGAAAGACTTTATTTTACCAGACAACTTTGAAACTTAATAGCTTGGACATTTTCAGTGTTTTTAACTTGTAGGAAACCCATGAAATTGTAAAACTGAGATGAATTTGTAGCTGTGCAACATACCCTTGTAACATTATAGCGTTGGCCTACATTTTTTTAATCACACACCACCTTTGATAGACATCTCTTTAAGCTAATTGTGCTGAGACGACTAGCCGCCATGATAATGTTTTTTATAAACAGGTGTCTACGCAAAGTTAGCTCCACTGGTAAAGAAATTAACTTTGTGTTGTCCAAAAACATCAACTGACAGCACAGGTTCAGCTTACAAGTACAGAAGCCTCCTCACACAGTTAACATTAGCATAAAAAACTATCGTCGTGTTATTTTCAGATGTGACATATTACTACAGAAACTCCGAAAACTGCAGTGTAAACAGTCAGCTTCACTCCTGACAAACTCTGTTAGAGCTACTGATCTGATACCAGATCCCAAAAGCGCAACTCTTTATATTTTAAACATGAAAACAATATAGATTTTTCATCCAAATCAATCTGCTCCTCTCAGCTGTCACTGATTCCCAAAATATAACTCATAAACATGTCAAACACAGAAGTTGAGGAGTATTCATTAAACAGCCTTAGCTGTTGGGATGTGAGCCATCCCATCTTAAAATTTACATTTATTCCTGCAAGTCTATGTGTCACTCACTCTCTCCTTGACCAGATGAGCACTAAAGATTAACCCCTCTCTTTTGGCATGCTGGATACCAGCAAAGCACAGGCAATTTTGTCAGTGTGGCCCAGCTTGTAAGCATTATTTCCAGACATTTTGACAGGCAAGTTTTTAATTGATCATTTTATAAATTTCACCAAGCAAAAACAGTAATTACTGGAAATGCTGTTCCACTCTGGAAAATAAATCCCTCAATCACAGCAGAGATACTTATTCTCCTCTTTAAACATCATTGGTGATAATTTGCCAGGTTTAATCTGACTATCAGTCCTCCTATTCCTAGACTAATCTCTCTTTTTATACTGTATATCTGCCCCCTTCTCTCTCATATCTCACATCTCACCCTGACTTCTACAATACGTTCTTCCCTTCCATCTCTCGCCTCATCTCCCTCCTCTTCTCCCACACCTCCTCCAGCTGGATAAGTCAATGGTCCGCCTGAAGCAGCTGAAGAGACAGCTGGAAGATGTGGAGGAGGAGAACTCTCGCTCCAATGCCCAGAAGAGGAAGCTGCAGAGAGAGCTTGAGGAGCTCATGGACAACAGTCAGACCATGACCCGAGAGATCACGTCCCTCCGCACCCAGCTCAGGTACACAAATGTGTATATGCAAGTGTTTGTACATGCATTGTCTGTGCCTGAGTCATCATCATTTATTGTTTTTTTGTTTGTTTATAACCCTCCATTAATTTGAAATGATTTGTTTTGCTTTGCTCTTTTGTTGCATCCCTTTGTGTCCATATAACTCTGACTCACTGTCCATCTGCCTGCATCACACCAAACCTCAGCGTTCCTGAATGGAGGCCAGATCAGTAGGGTATTGTGTCTGTTTTTATTATTTGTGTGTGTGTGTGTGTGTGTGTGTGTGTGTGTGTGTGTGTGGTGGCTTACTGCACACGTAAAATGCATACTGTATGTGTGTTGTATATTGTGCTGATTTTTTTTTTTTTCTTGCTTAGGGTTTGCACATTTCATGTAACTGGGGTAAAGGAATAGTTCTCTGTTTTAGGAAACATACTCCTTTGCTGTCTTGGTAAAAGTTAGATGAAAACCTGTGTACCAGAAGAGGAAGCTGCAGATTCCTGTGTCTGTACGATGAATAGAGTGAATATAGTGCTGGAGACAGGAGGCAGTTAGCTTAACGTAAAGCCTGGAAATGGCAAAAGAACTGACTCTGTCCACAGGTAACAAAACCCACCTACCAGTACCAAGTAGCTTTTTTGTTTAAATGATAAAAAGAATATATTGCGAAGTCACTGTGCCTGAGCAAGAAATAGCTCAGCATATAAAACATACCGGTATTGTTTTTACATTTGTTTAAACAAATGAGTCTTGGGTCCACTTTTATTTCTGTTATATATCTATCCTCTTGGGCAGATAATTCAGCATTTTAAGAAGGTGTCTTATCATCTTTATGCAGATGATGTTCAAATTTATTGCTCTTTTAATGACCCTGAGTTCCATTTTTTAGCTTCATTGTTAGAGTGCTTGTCATCCATCAAGAACTGGTTTAACAGTAACTATCCTCATATAAACTCTAATAAGACTGAAGTGCTGATTATTGCGCCTGATAATAAGATCCCGTCAATCAGACAACGCCTTGGTTCATTGGGCTCCTCTGTCCAGTCGAGCCTCAGAAACCTTGGTGTTGTGTTTGATCAGAATGTGTCTCTTGATTGCCATGTAAGACAGGTGGTGAAAAAATTGTTTTTATCATCTGAGGAATATTTCTAAATTAAGGCAAATGTTATCAAAGGTTGACCTGGAGATGATTATCCATGCTTTTATCTCTGCACGTCTTGATTACTGTAATTCCCTTCTTATCGGTTGCAATAAGTCAACTGTAAATCGTCTCCAGATTGTGCAGAATGCTGCAGCGAGGCTTTTAACAGGAATCCCTAGAAGAGCTCATATTATGCCCGTCTTATTTTCACTTCACTGGTTACCAGTCAGGTTTAGAA